CTGCCTCCAGATTCTCTCTCTTTCTCTCTCTCTCTCTCTCTCTCTCTCTCTCTCTCACACACACACACACAAACACACACACACACCTGAGCTCGTTCTCCACTTCCTTATTTTATAAGGCACTTATCTCAGTGGAAGGTCTTCCTCCCCCATCTCCCCAGGCCATTCTCACCTCCCATCAGAGTACATATGGCTGAGTGAAAGAAAGAGGAAAGACCCTCCAGCTGCTTCCTCTTTTTATTTTTATTTTCAACTAGGTGCTGGCATCTTCGTCACCACGGTAGTCGCCGGTGGCATAGCCCTTGTGAGGCCTTTCACCGCCGCCTCTCGCCCCTTCCTGCGGGATGCCATCTTCTACATGATCGCAGTGTTCCTGACGTTTGTGGCTCTCTATTTTGAACAGGTCACCTTGGCAGAAGCTCTGAGTAGGTATTGGGAGGCAAAGGGGGGGGGGGGCTTAAAAAAATCCTTGTTGGGAGGTAAGACAATCCATCTTCAGGTTTTGTCTCCCGGGAACAGGGTCGTGCCACCTCTTCGTTCCAACAGATTTGTAGCTGATGCCTATTCGTGATTGGTTGAAGGGATCAGTGTTGGGTAGCTGAGTTGAGCTGCCAAATGAATTCTTATGAAGCCTCCAATACTTCTCTCCAGAGCAGTGTTCTCCAACCTTGGCAATTTAGAATAGAACAGAATAGAGCAGAGCAGAGCAGAGCAGAATAGAACAAGAATAGAACAAAAATAAGAATAGAGCAGAGCAGAGCAAAAATTAGAATAGAATAGAGCAGTGCAGAGCAGAGCCTAATAGAACAAAAATATAACAAGAATAAGAATAGAATAGAGCAGAGCAGAGCAGAACAAAAATAGAACAAGAATAAGAATAAGAATAGAATAGAACAGAACAGAGCAGAATAGAACAAGAATAAGAACAGAATAGAGCAGAGCAGAATAGAACAAAAATGGAACAAGAATAAGAATAGAATAGAATAGAACAGAGCAGAACAGAGCAGAACAAAAATAGAACAAGAGTAAGAATAAGAATAGAATAGAACAGAGCAGAGCAGAATAGAACAAGAATATAACAAGAATAAGAATAGAATAAAGCAGTGCAGAGCAGAGCAGAATAGAACAAAAAGATAACGAATAAGAATAGAATAGAGCAGAGCAGAATAGAACAAAAATAGAACAAGAATAAGAATAGAACAAAACAGAGCAGAGCAGAATAGATTAGAGCAGAATAGAACAAGAATATAACAAGAATAAGAATAAGAATAGAATAGAAAGAGCAGTGCAGAGCAGAGCATAATAGAACAAAAAGATAAGAATAAGAATAGAATAAAGCAGAGCAGAATAAAACAAAAATATAATAAGAATAAGAAGAATAAAATAGAATAGAGCAGAGCAGAATAGAACAAAAATAGAACAAGAGTAAGAATAAGAATAGAATGAATAGAATAGAACAGATTTATTGATTCAAAATAAATTGTGGAAGCTACTGAGTAGATCCCCAACTGCTCAGCCTCCTTTCGTATCTGTTTCATTTCTTTATATTCCTACGTTGTTCCACTCCAAAAAGTGGCAGCCTGTTCATAGAAAAATAGAAATGACCCAACAGTATTCAAGAGTGTGTAGAGCAATGACTTTTGACCATCACAAGTAGGTAGAATACAACATCATGCAATGCTTTTACTAGAACCTGGTTTCTTTTCTTACTATGGAGACCCACTAGGCACGTTCTTTTTAATGTCTTTGAAGTTGATCGAATGTATGTGAAGTAAACGCATAACTTGTACACGAACTGTAGAAGGTCTGATGAGCAGAGAAGACAACGTCAACTACTCTCGTTCACAGGTTTCCTTGGACTTTACATCTTCTACGTCTTGACTGTGGTGGTCTCCACTTGGCTCCACAAGAGACAGCGCAGGGAGAGATTCACCCCACCCAGCCATCCAGAACCAGGTGAGGGGCGGTGTACCTATAGGCCAGAGATGGAGTATGGGTGGACTCCACAGATGTTCCATATTCCAGTTCCCATGAGCTCCAAATCAACATGGCCAAAGGGTCAGAGAAGATGTGAGTTGGCTTCAGCATTCGTATGAGGATTCTACAAGAAAGTTTTGTCTTTTGGATGGAGAAGGACCGGAATTTAGTTAGTGGCAACTACTGGTAGAAAGTGGATTGCTAGAAAATAATTAGAGGATTCTCTTGCCTATCTGAGATGAGGGGTGTGGTGGCTTAGAGGTGAAAGCTCTCGCCTCACAATCAGGATCGTAGGTAGAGATAGATATTTCTCTCTCTAGGCACATTGAGAATATCTCTGATGAATATAACTTCTCATTGGCAACAGGGAGCGCATCTGGCCAGTAAACACTCAGCTCCATTGCCCAGACTCCACCCCGCCAGGGATTATGGGGTCATTAAAAGAAGATGATGAATCTTGCCTATCGGACAGGCCAGAGCAAATTGTGCTAGACAAACTGAAGCTCAAGATTTGCAGTATACCACAAACGTGTTTCCTCTTTGTCTCTCTCTCTCTCTCCAGAGCTTTCAACGGATTCCGAAGAGGGTGACAGTGCGAATGTGAATGGGGGTAAGGCATTCTCCATTTTCTAAGCACACAGATGTCAGGGTTCAAAACAGCATCCAAAATTAAATCAGAGGCCAAGGCAAAGTATTGCTCAACGTTCCAATTCATTAAGAGAGCCATGTTGGGATTAATAATAATAACAATAAAAAAAGAACAAAATTAGACACAGCTAAGTTTTAATTATTAGGGGGGAAAATGTTATGATATAGGATATAGTTAAATAAAGAAAGGATAATGATAATAAATTATATACATGTATGGGTGCAATATAAGGGAATTGGATGTAAATGGTAAACAGGGATTTGGAAAGGAGGATTAGAAAATG